CTTCGTCCCCCCCCCCCCCCCCCCCCCCTTAAGACCCCCTTAAGGGGGTGACCCTTAAGCCCCCCCTTGAAGCCCCCCTTAAGCCCCCCTTGAAGCCCCCCTTAAGCCCCCCCTTCGTCGAAGGTCCGGGGCCCAGCCCCGAGCAAGATCATCAGCTCCAAGGACGAGACTATCAGCAAGATCATCAGCTCCAAGGAGGAGACCATCAGCAAGATGGATGAGATCATCCGTTCCAAAGAGACCATCGAATCAATTAGACTAAGTTGGCAGCTGAGAAAAGGGAAACTTTGCGCGTTGGAGGCCTGTTGAGCATCTGAGAAATATTGTTTCACGCAGAGAAAAACTTTGCGAGAGAAATTTAATGCAGCACAGGCCATCTAGCCTCCAGCAGCTGTCGCCATCAAACCAGTCAGGTTGCGAATTGCCTGTTCCAGAGCGTCTCTCAGTCTTCAGCAGTGTTAAAATCGTGCATCAGTTGACGACGTTGTTTTGCACGTTGTCTGTTGACGTCCATGGCCAATCTTGAAGCCAGAACGCTGTACACGACAAGCAATTCATTGAAGCAAGTGAACGCACACTTACTTCTTGACGGCTTGCTACTTCTACGTGTGACATAGCATCAAATGTCGACAAAGGCGAATATAAGGGACGCATGCGCCTGCGAGTATCTGTTTTTTCCAGCTGCTTTTCCTTGTAATGCTGTTTCCGGAACCGCTTACTGCCAGCTGCTCTTGCAAAAACAACAATCGCAGCAACTGCAGCAGCAACTGAGCTGCGCTGACGTGCGGAAACCACAAGCTTCGATTGCTTGAAAGAGAGCAAAGTTTTGTCTTTGTTGTCGTCGTGTTTGACACTTGCGAAAACTTTTTCGTTCAGTTCAGCGCTGCCTGTTTGTTTTGCTGTTTAGGACTCCGCCCAAATGTCGCGCCCCTGCGTGAGCCCCGAGGATGCATGTAAAATTTTTTCTTTTCGCAAGCAACTCATAGGTGCCCAAAATGTGCCGTAAAACTTGCAGACTGTCTTTTTGTTTCAGTTCGGAGCGCTGGGTATGTTTTCTTCTTGGCACCTGCAGCCAACTTTTTGCGGTTAGGATTTCGAATTCCTGTTGAAGGGCTGAAGGCTTAAGGTTTCATTTTTTTGTTGGACTTGAGGCAACCAGTCAATGAAGGCACCGAAAAGCTTCAGGACGTGGATTTAGGGTTTAGGGTGCAAGGCTTCACCCAGGTGCTTTTGCCAGCCAGGCACTGTTTCCAGGCAGGGGCTGTTTCCAGCCAGAGGCTGTTTCCAGGCCGGGGCTGTTTCCAGGCCGGGCCAGTTTCCAGCAAGGGGCTCTTTCCTGCGCAGGGTTTTTTCCTGCCCAGGGCTGTGTCCAGACATGGGCGGTTTCCAGATTTCGGTTTGTTTCCAACTAGAGGCTTGTCAAAATGTTTTTGGGCCTTTTCCACCGCCAGGCCGTTTCCAACCCAAGGCCGCTCCCAGCCACGGGCGTTTTCCAACCAGGGGTCGTTTCCAGGCCTGGGCTTCACCCGTAACAGTGAGGAATGGTTACATTGATCAAGGAATACAGGATCGAGTTGAGCTGTTCGCCATTCCCATTTCCATTTTGAGATCTTGAACATGCAGCGGGCATGGCTGCGCAGAAGGAGGGACGCTCCATTTATAATCATTCTTGTCTGTGTGTTGGCTGCTGCGCTACGGCCCGGGCCTCTTCATGCTGGGCCCTTGGAGCCTTCGGGGCGATGAAGGCACACTTTTCATTTTAAGTGTAGACTCAGTTTCGTTTTGAGGTTGCCGAAAGCCGCAGGCAATGCTGACATAGGGTGGCCAGGCGCATAAACTTGTTCTCTAGCACGCCAGGCGGATCCGGACGTTCGTCGCGAATGGAAGAAGTGGTAGTGGCAGTGGCAGCGGTAGCGGTAGCGGTACAGGGTGGCAGTGGTACAGGTAGTGGTAGTGGCAGAAGCAGCAGTTAGTCACACCCCGGCCGGTGCAGTAGGGAATCAAAGGGGGGATCCCAAGTGCAGGGCTACCTTGTTGCAAGCTTGATTTCCAGGCCTCCCCGAAAAACAGTTCAGGCCTCCCCGATGAGCAGTTCAACAAGAAACTTGTCCTTCTGGTGTTTTGAAGCTCGGACCGGACCTTCATTTCAAAATCTTGTGCCTTGATAAATTGAAATCGACCCAAAACTTTCCGGACCGCTGAACCGGGCCGCGTGGCAGGCAGTGTTGTACATTATTGGTGGATCCCAAAACTTTCCTGCTGTTGCACCGGAGCGGCTGGGCTGTTACAAGCCGCTCAGAAAACACAGCTTTGTTGGCGTGGCTTCAGTGATTTTTAAAGATCTCTGGATCCCAGAAGCCAGATCCTGTTTCCGTTTCAAAACATGGACTTCCCGACCCTGCCAAACCGCAGAGGTGCACCTGCTTAGTTTCTGCTGCCAATGCTAGCAGCTCAATGCCCAGATGCCTCAAACCGTTCTTTGAAGTCTTACGGCCGGTGCTTGCAGGAAGTGTAACAACCACCCGAAGTTCTTGACACAATTGAAGCATCCCTTCGTGCAACTTACCATGTTTCTTCCTAAATTCATCAATCCCAACAAGAATGATCAGAATGATACCCCAAAGCTTTGTAATGGGCAAATGCAAAGTGTTTCAACAGCATGCTTTGGCAACGCATTTGGTGTTTCTGTCGTGCTGCAGGTTTGGCTCTTACCATGCAGACATTAAGCGAACAAAGTGTGATTTCCCGATTGAGCACAGGAGCTGTAACCCCTTCAAACATACGGCGAGGTTGCAAGGGTAAGAAGCAGTGCTTGCAGTGCAACGTAATCATAAAAACTTGGTTGGTTGGATCCTGTAAAATCCTTGAGCACGATGCGGCGCTCCCACCGTTCTGCGCCGTGCAGCGCATCAACCTTCCCAGCAAGGCCAACGGGGTAGATACACCAACATGCACGGATGTTTCGCAAACATGAGCAAGGTGTGTATGCCTTGTCTTTTTGGCGAACTTGTCGGAGCCTGTGCACACTGGCATTTTTGTGTTGCAGACTGGCTTGATGCGCATGTGCAAGGTGCCATCACTCTTTTGTCAACTTGTCAGAGGTATCCCAAGGTGCGCTGCCAGCGGCTTGCTCCATGTCTGATTGCGGGAGAATGCCAGGCTCGAGGACTGGCATCACGTCCAAATCCCAATCGAGTCCTCTCGTGCTCTCCCTCTTCTGTTGTCTTTGGCCGAAGCTTTGTCCATCTGCACATGCCTGCTTGCCGAGGCCAGCGCGGGCACTTCCAGCGGAGCAGAAATTCAGCAATGACAAATTGCGCGCAGCGCACCCGGATTCCCGTCTGCTATTCTACTGACTTGACTGAATCTTGAGCCCTATTGAGTCTGCTTAGCCAGGCAGAGACAGAGGATCCTTTCGCCAAGGCATGGATCGCTGGGGTTTGAGCCGTTTGAAGTGCCCACCTGGCAGGTCAAAGTTGCCTTGTTTGGATTCCTGACAGTTTGACTCTCAGAATGCCTTCGCTCGTTCACCTCAGCGGGTCTGGCAGCACTTGCTTGCAGCCTTCGTCTTGAGCTTTGCCAGAGCAGCATATTCGCAGTCTGACGTATGACGACTAAAGGCATTATGATGGATGCAGTGCAAGAAGCAGGAGCTAACACAACATGCCGTTTCAAGCTGAAGGAGTCGCGGCATGCTTTCATTGAACTTATTAGCGACAGAGCCACTCACAGCCCATGATTGCCAAAAACCGCTGTTTACAGCACCTGCGTGATGCTATGGCTGAGCTGTCTGCACTGGACGCTCTTTCTTGGTGGCCATGGACACGACGAATATCCGGCTGCAGCTCGACATGGAGGCGCAACGGTTCCCCCTCTGAACGGCCTTGCCGTATTGAGGCAGACCAACCGGACTACTGGAACCAAGTCTACAAAGTGCAAAGCCTGCACGGGCGCTCCCTGTACGAGTGGTACGGCCTTGGCGAGCAGCTCAGCTTTTTCTGTGGGGGGTGGGGGCGAGACACCTTCTTGATTACTTTGGATGTCGAATGACCGTGTGCAGGCTACCAGCAACTGCGCGGTTCTTTGATGGAGCTGCTCGAGCCGCCTGCTTACTCCACCACAGCGAGGCCGAGGATGTGTCTGATGTCGAGTGGAGTTCCTCCAGTGGGCCTGTGCACAGCTGATCGTACGTGTGAGTCAGCCAAGCCGATGCCATCAGGTACGATAGTGTTAGCTCCGTGAAGCTTTGAACAACTCGTTCCTGCGCATTTAACACCTGCAGCACCGCATAGCCTGTGAAAGCATGAATCTGCCTCTGTTTTCAGAGTTCTGGAAGGCTGCTGGTGCTCGGAAGCGGCGACTCCGCTCTGAGTGCCGAGCTGGCTTCGGACAAGGCAGGTCCCGGCACGCGTCCTTCGTCCTTCTGCGCCGGGTTGCAGCTCGGGGCAGGTCTTCGAGAAGCGGAATGTCGAGGTTCGGATTCGTGGTGTGCGATTAGAAATGCCAAAACCTCAACGGTTCGAGGTCATCAGCATCGACTTCTCTGCTGAGGTGACAGATGCTCCACTGCAATCAACCACGCATGTGTTGCCAGTATGCAAAGCTAGGAACATCCTCAGTGCATCTTGCCAGTGATGCCGTCTTCAGGAACGGATGAGGCGGAGATTCCCTGATTTAGCTTTCCTCACAATGGATGCCAGGCGGCAATCTATCTTTTCCAAGTTGCAGATGTGTCAGTTAGCCTACATTTCTGTGTGAAAACTTCGCACTGACTGTTTCCAGGAACATGTCAGATTTCGATGATGGCTCTTTTGTAGCTGCCATTGACAAAGGCCATGTTGGATATGTGGTTTTGTCGACTTTTGTTTTGGCGTGTATTTTCCCACGAAGGCTTGTCTGACTGCCTCGGCACAGTTGCGTCGCGGAGACAGTACTTCCAGGACATTGTTAGTCCTGTAGCCGTGTGGCGTGCTTTCACCGACATCGCAGGAGGTGCGACGGGTGCTTGTTCCAACCGGCCGGCTGCTGGGAACTTGGGACCGTGCACGAGCCATGCAAGAAGCAGATGGCTCTGAAATTGAGGCTTGTGGTGTCGCAGCGAAGGCTGTGGGCAGGTCAAGTTACTCGGTTGCAGGTAGAAAACGAGCATGGCTTGATTGCATGGTTTCGTTTGCAGGATTTGCCGTCAGATGATGACGAGGTCTTGCGGTATGGGCCCCCTGAGCTGTCACGGACCACTCACTTCCGGCAAGTTGTGTGGAGGATGAGCCAGATACCTTCCGTGAGCGGCACTCAGAGGCCGACCGGCCACAGCCGAAAGAGTGCCGTGTTTATCGGACTAGACTGGGCTTCGTCTTTCCACACCAGGCTGATGACCTGGGACCCGGCTGGGCCTGCAAGGAGCAGGTAGGGTGATCTGTTCAGTTTTCATTTCTTCAGGTTTTTGTCTTTGTTTCAAGGAGATGTATGGGCCCCTCTTTATGGAGAGTGACGAGAAGCAGCCTCCCTTTCCACAGCCGGGCACGGAAGGCACCATCCCTTATTTCTTGTGTCTTGGCAGCATACAGGGCCGAGTGAGTGAGCCGGTGTCATAACATGCACAACATATATATACACACATAACTTTACAATATATATATATATAAAATAGGTAAGTAAATATCAAAAGAACTAAACTATTAAAAAATATATTTGTATGCTACTGTATTCCGTACATGCTCTGTTGGCCTGTGCAAGACGTATTTGTCAGGTTGGCTTGCCGCGTTTCTTCGACTGATGGCGGCAGTTGAGATGTCAGAAAACAATGCGCTGCACAGGGATTTTCTTTCCTTTGCGATCTCCTGTCTATCTATCTATCTAGCCAGCTATCTATCTAGCTCTAGCTAGCTATCTGTCTGTCTTTCTGTCTGTCTGTCTATCCGTCTGTCTGTCTATCCGTCTGTCTATGTGCATGTGCAACTCTTTGTCTGTGTATCTGTGTATCTGTGTACCTGTCAATGTATCTATCTACCTATACATCTATCTGTCTGTCTATCCATGCATCCATCTATGTATCTAGCTATCTGTCCATCTATCTATCTATCTACCTATCTAGCTATGCATCTATCCATCTATATGTCTGTCTCTCTGACTCTCTGTCTCTCTGTCTCTCTGTCTCTCTGTCTCTCTGTCGTTCTGTCTGTCTGTCTGTCTGTCTGTCTGTCTATCTATCTCTATCTAGCTGGGTATATATATATATATATTATGCAAGGCAGTCGCCCGCGTTTACTTGGCATGTGAACCAGTGCTTGGATGCTCTTGCAAGGGTGGTGCCGGCATTGGGCTGCTGTTCATTTTGCCGAGGTGCGAGGGAGTGAGGACGGGCGGGTCTTAGCGTTTACACTGGAACATTCCACGGTTTAGGGTTTAGGGTCTAGGATGCTGTGTGCCCATAGGAGAACGAAAAGTAGCTACCACCTGCACTCTTAGCGGCGGCTGTATGACCTTGCCATGTTCGCAAAGGGAACGTGCTGGCAGCTGGCGCGTCGTCAGAAAGGTTTTGTACTGTTTTCGACTTCAGAAACCTGCTGCTGCTCTGCATCGCTTTGAATTCCCAGCAGACTGGACGCGGGTCCAACCAATGTAAAACGAATTTGTTGAGCGCTTCTCGATGGATTGGTGCAGTGCATGTGTTGACAAAGCTCGCTGCAGGCTGATAGCAGCTGGAAGCTCAGTTGTGTCTGAAGTCATCCTTCAAATGTTGCCAGACTACTTTCAGGGATAGCAATTGGTTCTGTCAGTCACGTCGGCCCGTCAGGCGGGGTCGGTCGGTCTGTCTGTCTCTGTCCGTCTTTGTCTGTCTCTGTCTGGAATCCATCAACTTTTCAGTCTCATTCTCCTTTCTGGCCATCCTTTCCACCGCCGCCACCCCGACGAGCGCAGGTCACACGTTCTTTCCTTCATCTCCGCCTCAGCGATTGCTGTGTTTTCCTCCACGTGTTTAGCGGTTGCTTGCCGCCTGCCTTCATCTGACGAGCCCAGTCCTTGCTCGGAGCTCCTCGGGCCGCCCCTCTGCCGCCCAGAGCCCAGCGACACGCTGTAGCGGCCTGCGAGCAGCCGATGTTGCAAGTGTTACAAAAGCGCCCGACTTTCGAGGAGCGTCTTGCAAGACGTTGCTGTTAACTTTGGGGCCATGGTTTTCTGTGGCTTCTTGACTTACCAGGCAGCTGCGTCTTTCCAAATCCCTTTGGCTTCGTCAGAGCCTCCTTGAAGGAGTGGAATCAGGACTCCGTGCGGTCCCAAGCCAAGGAGGCGTGCACACGTCCCGCAAGGTTTTCCGCGTCCTTGCTCCAATCTCGCCACACCGCAGGAGGGAGCGTTGATCGCGCGGCTTCCAGTGCAAGTCCCGATTGATGGAGAGGTGCAAATTTGGCAGCCAGTGTGGTACTAGAGGAGAGAAAAGAACGTTTGTAATTGCTTTTAGCTGCCGAGACGCGGCAGGTTGTTGATGTCCAGTTGAGTGACCTCAGAGTGGGGCGACGGATGAAGTCGCGGCGGCCGGCGGCGTGCTCGGCGGTTCATGTTTCCATGTTCAAGCTCCGCTTGGCACATTTGCAAGGTCCTTTGCCTTGGGAATCTCAAGTTCTGTGCAAAGCTCAGCCAAGAGTGGCAGTTTTCACATCTCCAAGAGAGTCACAATGTGCCGGATTCACGCCAGCTCAGGTCAGGACTGCATCGATGCCTCCATGGCGGTTCAGGAGGCTAATACGGCAGTGTGAGGGATGCCTATGGGGATGCCCTGGGGGGCGCAACTCCTGGCGGAAGGCCATGATCCGTACGGACTTCCTGCTTGTGCCCATGCTTTGCAATCCTTCCGAAGATGATGTGTTGGCATCCCAGAATCCCATCGCCGCCCTTTTCCACAGTGATCCGCAGTACATCCCTCCATGACGGCCTTGTTTCCATCGTTCTCCGACTTGAGGCCTGCCCTGGCTGCAGCGGTGAAAGACTTGAGCTTCGTGGCACTGCCTGGGAAGGCGCCTGTTTTGGGTGTCGCCTTAGCTCTGCACTTCGCCGCTTTTTTTAAGGATCCAAAAGGAGATTGGGCACTGCTCTCCGAGATTCAACTCGCGCAGGCCAGGGTGTCTCTGTTCCGTACCTCACGCATGATAGAGCGATCTCCCAGTAGGCTCTTGTGCATGCACATGTCTGCCTCAATCTTGAGGTTCGCAGTCAGGGCTTGGATGAGGCTGCCGAACTTCTTTGAGCTTGTCATGATGCCGTCTCTGCACCACACGCCGTGCAGGACGTTGGCCAGGCCATCATCATTAAAAAGAATGGGCGTGTTGGCACTCGATTCCTCGGAGTCTGGGTCTTGTGACTTTGATGGCTCATGTAGTCGCGAAATATGCAGAGTACCTTGCGAGGTGCCGGACTGGAAATCTTTAACTGCTGAGGCTCTGCTTTGCCTTCTGGTCTTGGAGTTAGCTTCGAGTGTTGTCTCGTGACAGGTGGACGCGCGTGTGAAACTGGGATTGGACACAAGAAACGTGTGATGCTGCCTGACTTCTTCAATCGACCTCACTCTCAGTTTTCGGCTTCACTGATGAAGGCCTTCTGATACACTTTTCCGTGGCCTCGCATTGTTAGCATGCTCACCCAGAGGGTTGACCCGTGCAAGTTTGTGTCACACAGCAGGCCAACAGTATTCTCGACATCCAGTTTTCAGTGCGGAAAAGGCTTCTGCGTCAGCCTTCTTGCAGTCCTAGAACATCTAGAAACAACGCTTCCAGTACGGAGATACGTGGAGTCATGGTGCATCACGATGACCACCACATCAGCCCTTTCATGAGTGTAGTAGTATCACTGTACTGCCGGCACTCGTCAGCTGAATTTCTAAGTGATATTTGGCTCGGGAGCTGGTGACGGCTGAGGACTCGGACAGCATGCGCCGCATACAGCAGCTGTCGCAGCATGTTTTGCCGAGCAGTGCAGCCGCGCCGTCCGCGCCGGCAGACCTGCCGGAAATCAAATCTCTCGCACGTCGTGACCGAACACGGCGGGACACTACCTCAAGACAGAGATCACAGTTCAGTCCTCTCGAGCGACCTTGTCTTGGAAACTTAGAAATCTTTCCTTGACAAGCCAGTATGTAGAGTAGGCGGGGCGGCTTCTCTTGCCCTGTTCGAGAACGAAGGTGGGAGGCTCGCTGTAAGCTGGCCATCGCGTACCGGCTCTCTGCTCACTATGGCTGGGACGAGCTTGTGTTCAACCACATCACCTTGAAGGTGCCGGAAAGCGATCGCTTGCCCGGCGGACCGCACTTTCTGATCAACCCCTTCGGCTTGCGCTTTGATGAGGTCACAGCTCCTTAGCGAGGGAAGGAGCCCAACTGGACGGCTGCCAGGTAAAGTACGCTTGCCTCTGAGAAGTTCTTGCCAGCTGAGGCTAGCTCTTTGTTGAAGGTGGATCTGGATGGAAATATCGTGGACAAGGGGACGAACCAAGGGCCGCTCTTCAAGCAGGGATTTGTAGTTCACGCCTCAGTTTCAACCAGATTTCGAAAACTGTTGTGTGGTGCCAGTGCCATCCTGTCCCTTTCCAACTATCAACTACAATGCTCAAGCTTGTTTTCTGTTCATTTCGAACCGGGCCCTGAGGTCCACTCGGCCGTGCACGCTGCCCGTCCGGACATCCACTGCGTCTGGCACTGCCATCATTCCGACACAGTTGCGGTATTGACCACCAAAGCCGGTTTCCTGCCCCTGACGCAAGAAGCTATATCTCAGTGGGGGGAATTTTCCTACCATCCATTCGAGGGAAACGCGGTCGACTTGGACGAGCGGCAGCGTGCCTGGTGCTGAAGAAGCAACAGCTTGTCTTCTGAAGGGAGCCTGACATGTCTTTTACTTAAAGAAAAAGGATAAACTGTGATCGGAAGGAATGGCGCAGAACCTCGGGCCGAAGAACAAGGTCTTACTCCTTGAGAACCATGGCCCACTGACAGCAGGTGGTTCAGTGGAGGAGGCTTTTTTCAGAATGCTCCTCGGCTTCAACCTTCGAAGGGATCGAGGCATTTCAGACGAAAACCTCTTCGGGCCCATTGCTTCATGGGTTCTACATGGGCTTGTGTTCCACAAGGTGCCTGGCCAGAAAGTCTACCGAAGCATCCGTACTGCGTGTAACTGTGATCCGAGAATGGACCCCAACCCGACTTTGATGATGATGGTGACGGTGGTGATCACGATGGTGGTTGCCATAGTGGTGATGGTGGTGGTGGCTGTGAAAAAGATGGTGCAGCACCTAGTCACGGTGGTGGGGATGGTGATGATGAGGGTGAACCTGCTGCTGATAATGATCAAGTTAGTATATACTGTATATCAACAGGTAGGAACCATGCTTTGCGCTTCTGGGTCTTGCTGTTCTTGCTGTTGGTATTCTCATCATAGTTGTCTGCTGCCAGTCTTACGATTGTGAGCGCTGTCACGCTGCCAGCAGCAGCATCACTATCACCATCAGCACCACCATCATCACAATCACTGTCATGATCACACCCGCCGTCGTCGTCTTCGTCATCGTCGTCGCCATCGCTAGCATCATTTGGCATCACGATTCGCATCACGTTCATCATCCGTGGAATACCTACTCGTCATTGCTAATGACTGTTAGTCGTGACGATTGTGGTTATGATCATGATCATCATCATGATCATCATCATGATCATCATTATGATCATCATTATGACCATCATGATCATCGTCAGCAGAATCATTATGATCAGCATCGTCGTCACCAGCACCACCATACCACCATCATCATCATCATCATCATCATCATCCCTATCATCATCATCATCCTCCTCCTCATCATCACCACCATTACCATTACCATCACCATCACCATCACCATCATCATCATCATCATCATCATCATCATCATCATCATGTGTAACATCACCACCATTTCCTGTACCAAACGGTAGCGAGGGTAGTGGTAGCAGTAGGTCCCAGGGGGCTCCAGTGACTCTAGTGGGTTGCTGTTTCTGCTGGGATATTCTCCGAAAGCTCCTTTTGCACCTTGTTGCTGACAGCAAAGGGATCATTACGACCAGTCCCGGCCGGCCATTGGCAAACGGATTTGCCAAGCAGGGCCGAGTGCAGAAATGCAGTAACATTATCGCGACACCTGAGCATGTCTTTGAGCCTTGATTATTTGCCGATCTTCCAAGAAGTTTTCCCACGACCTCACAAACTTCGACTTTACGTCCCGAGGTACAATGTCACCATCGGCTGCACTTGGCAGATAAGGGCCATGGCAGCTGTCGGAGGATGGGCTTGTCGTCGTGTCGTCCCTCCTACTCGTGAGCAGCTTCGTCAACCTGGCAGGAGACTTGAGCAAATTGAGGGTGCCAAGCGGTGAGTACCTGGCCGGCCTGAAGCGTCGTGAGAATCAAACAGTTACCAAATCCAACGTTTCTCAGCTGCAAAGAGTCGGGAAGTTGTTTCGCGCCTGCAACAAACATCCTTCGCCTAGGATGACGTCGATAAGAAAAACGAGAACTACAACGAGGTTGAGGCCGTGCATGAAAGCAGGTCAACAGGTCTCTGCCAGAGTGCAGTCAAAACGAGTTTCTTTGCCCGTTTGTGCATGATGGGAGGCCATGTGGCATGCAGCGCGAAGACTTATGGAAAGTGTTCACGGAGCTGAAAGCATCTACTGCTGATAGATGGGCCTCCTGCTGGCCTGTCCGCATTGCTTTGCAGCGTTCTTCCGCATCAGCAAAAGCCTGACAGCTCCTTTCCCGACCTGGGCGACATACTAGCGTTAATAGCTACTAGCGACATGCGCATCCGGCGAGAGCGACCCGCTGCCCCCCTTTTGGAGCGTTGCAAAAAGCAGAAAGGGCCAGCTGCGCCCGACTTCTGATGTGCAGTGCACATGAAATCTGTTGCGCAGCATTGCCTCGCACCCGCACCGTTCTTGGCTCACAAGCAAAACAATACGGATCACAGCAGGGCTTGGAGGCCGTGCGCAGCTTGGCCTTGAGTGTGGAAGTGCAGTCTGTCTTTTCTGTTTTGTTGCCCCGAGTGAGGCCTGCTGACATGGGCGAGGCTGGGGCCAAAGCTCAACTGACCGGCTCTTTTTCTGATTGCATTATTGGCTCAGGACGCCATGGACACGGCCGAGGTGCGAGAGAGAACTGAAGCCTGGAGGGGACAATCGCCGTGCCAAAGCATGCATTTTTTGTTGAACAAGTTGAATTCGGAGCATTAGTCTTGCCCATCAGAAGAGCACAGATAGATATGTTCAGTTGTAGGTATGGAGTTTAGTGCCCAAGTGTAGGAGGTGACAACTTACAGCTCTTCGTGCTTCGACCGATCGACTGCCTTGTTCCAGACTCGTCGATCGCATGACTCTTTGCATTTGGTGGCCATTTCGGCGAAAAATCTTTGTTTTCTTCTTCCCGCCCACTCCTCCCCACCACGATCGATTTTCGTGTGCTTTCAGTCTGCGAGAGCCGACCGGGGAAGCTGTGGGTCCTCACAAATCTCGACGACATCTGGCTTAGAAATGCAAGATGTCGGATCGAAGTACTTCGAATGAAGTCGACATCGCAGACTTCGCCACCGTGTTGAGAGAGTGAAAAGAGGTGGAAAAACAGTGGTGCGCCCAGGGATGTGTGGCTCTCGCTCGAATGGTCTGTTGTCCAGATAGAGAGAGACCTAGATGAACACAAGCAGATGGTACACAGCCTTGACTCGTCTGCAGGGCGGCAAAGATGCGCCAGCTGAAGCAGCCCGAGCCCCATGTTGCAAGAGTCCGGCAGCAAGGACGATCAAACTTGCTCTGCTTCCAGACTGTATCCCGGAGGCACCAGCCGAAGAGACGGCTGGAGAGGCAAGGGAAACCGGGTGTAGTCCTAGAGGAGGTTGGCAACAGGTAGCTCAATGCTGCATTGCTGCACGCTGCCTATGCCCTGTGAGTCAGTGGGATTGGCACTGGCTGCTCGAATTCCGACCAAAGAGTCCATCTGTTGGTCAGGCCAAAGCCGCTGCGGAAATGGAAGGGCAGGACGAGGCGGAACATGTACTGGATCTCGTGGCCCAAGCAGCTGGGATTGTAATGCCTTCAGGACGCCCCGGGTGACGCACCACCCGCCGAGACTGCAGATGCAGAGGTTCTTGTCCGGTCTTCCACTGGGGAGTGCCGTGTGCTGCCTTTGGATATCAGGTTGATGGCGACGAGCCGAAGGACGAGGAAGACCAAGCCATGGAGCGCAAGGAAGAGAACGGAATGGAGGAGGCAGTGAAGAACGAAGGCCTCATGATGCCTCCATCACCTGATGAAAGCGAACACAGGACATTCTTTCGCCTTCTTCGTAGCATCTCGAACCATGTATTCAGGCGACGGGGAGGCCGAAGCTGAGGGCGAAGAGGGCAAGGACGACGACAAGGAAGAAGAGGACGAAGGCAGTCGAACGAGAATTTCCGGCACGGGGTCTTACACTACTAGACTCACTAGACTAGACACCTGCGACGTAAGAGCTTTATGCTCGAAGCTTTCAGCAAGAATCTGCAGAAAGCTTCGGTTCAATACTGCCACGGCTTACGCTCGAGGCAATGTAGAGAAAGTTGACAAGCTCAGCATGTCCTTGGACGACTTGATTGAGCCTGATCCTCGAAGTGTTCTCGCATGGCAACACGACAGCGGAGATGGTCGTAGCTGAAAGTGCTATCCTTGACCTGATCCGAGTGCCGACCGTCGCGCGACGAAGGGCGGCGGTGACGCTCCCAGCTTCGGAAGTTCATCGGGTGGACCCAGGTCGGGCCGCACGTGCCGTGTGTGTCGCGCCAGGTAAAGGCCGCTGGGGCAACGGCGGACGACAGGGTAACTGGAAGTCAAGTTGGTCCAAAGACGACAACTGGAAGGAGATGGCGAGATGATGTGGCATCGCATATTCTTACTTACACGTGCAAAGTCTGATTTGTGTCAGGACAAGAGCGACTCGCAGGACTCCAGCAATTCATCCTTTTTCATGGTGTTTTTGTCCTTGATTCAGGATTGGAAAAGTGCATCCAAGACCGACGACTGGAAGGCTGGACACGCCACTGGCTGCTTCACTCGTGTGAGATGGCAGCACCTGTAATGTCTGATGCTCGGTTGGCTCACCAGCCATGAAGTTGCAGCACGCTCTGTGCAGGACAGCAACTGGAAGAAGAAGGACGACTGGAAGGATACATTGAATAGTTATACTGTCACGCAGCCATACCCGCCAAAGATGTCGTTTATGTCCAACGGGCTAGACCCGCGATACGTGGTGACATCATGAACGCCCCTTCTGGCAGGACTCTGATAAGTGGGGCTCCGGATCCAAAGCTGCGGCTCGACACTTGGGTGCTTCCCCTGAGACTTACAGCTTGCATGGTTTGTGCACGAGGATTGGAAGAAGGACGGAAATGACTGGTCAAGCGATTGGAAGAAGGATCCGTGTTGCTGTACCAACCATGCATGGCGGAGTATCTGTTCGGCCTGTCAGGGCAACGATTCTTATGGCAGTGGAGGTACCTGACTGTTCCACATGTGCGCTTGTAGGGCACGAGTGACCGTGGCAGGTGGAAAGTCGTACAGTTGGTCCGGATCCGGAGGCAAAACATGGGACAAAACCTCCTCGTATGACAAGTCCTACGACAGCAAGTCGTATGACAAGTCTTACGACAAGTATGACAAGTCGTACGACAAGTCCTACGACAAGTATGACAAGTCTTATGGCACGTCGTACGACAAGTCGTATGACAAGTCCTACGACAAATCCTACGACAAGTGCAGGGCTTAGATGAGTCAGTTTGCAAGCATTGTTAGCTGACGGGTTCAGCTGTAACTTGTGTGCAACTAGGGGTGGCTACGGCGGTCGGGCACTGAGCGAATTTGGAGAAGGTGCCTTTGCCGCAAAGACTCTGAGCATCGGAGCAGCTGCCAAGGAGGGAAGTACGACAAGTACGATGATAAGTACGGCAAAAGCTATGTGCTTCGGATGAAGTAAGCAAAAGCTGTCGCAGGTGTCTGTAGTTTTCAGAGTGTCTAACAAAGGACCAGGGTGGAAAATCCTCCTATGGTGGAAGGCAGTGGGTTCTCGGCGCCCTGACAGCTTTGATGCCTCGCAACGGCCGGACGATCCGTTTTGGGACAGGGGCGATGACGATAGATACGGCCGGGGTGGTGGATATGGGGGCAAGGAGACGTCTAGTAAGTGACCGTACAAAGCTCAACTGCGGACTTCATGCCTGTCCTTCACTTGGAGGACTATGACGATTATGGCCGCGCCAGTACCCAAGCTGTCAGCTTCCGTATCTTGCCATGCGCTTCGCCAAGTGGCCTCGGACTGACCAGGGAGGCGACCGTCGAGGAGACCCAGAGCTCGGGCCTCGGACTGCTCAGACCGGCCGGCGCCCCTTGCAGCGCTCGCCGCCGAAGCCGCGGTGCACCGAGGCCACGCGACCGAGATCGCAGAAGGCGGGATATGGGTTAGTGAGGTTAGTGTAGCCAAGACCAAGAGGAGGGGTGTGGACTGCAGATGGCAGGAATGATGATCCGCCAGCAGATGATGACAGAGGCTTCTGCTGCAGGGTGCTCCCTCCTCTCTCTCCCTGCCCTGCCCTGCGAAGAGATCACATGACAGGCCGCGGCCCTCCTCCCAGGCCAGTGCTTCGAAGCGAGAGTGGAAAGGGGGGCTGAGGGCTTTTTTGGGCGGGTCATCTCTGCCCAGGGGCTGCACTATCGTCAGATCCCCGGATGTTGAACTCTGCGGCGTTGCGGCATCATGGCAGAGCCTCTCTGCACCGGCTGCCTGAGGTAGTGTCGAACTTGCAGGGCCTTCGGATCAACCGCCGCGAACTCAGCTTTGGAGCCCCAGAGGGGCAGCGGGAAAGCTGTGCCAACTGCAGGGCGGGATCTCGAAGCGGCGTTTAATCCTGTCGGCCGGGTCATGAGTGCAAAGCTCAGAGGAGCGGAGCTCTCGACTCTTCTTTGCAGATGCTTGCAGACATTTTTTATGTGCCTGAAGATCCATTCTTGAAGCTAGGTGCCTCGGTGGGTGGCGATGTGGCCACCATCACCTTTAGAGAGCCTGGGCCTAAGAATCCCCCTATGAGATCCCGAGAGAGCTCCCGAGAGCCCCTCGTCGTGTTCCACTTGTGCAAGGCCGCGACATGCGTCGGACGCAGTGCGCCGCTTTCACGGCGGCCAGTTGAATGTCCTTGGCTTGGTCAGGGCGGTGCTGGCCAGGGACTTGTAAGGCCCACATGCGCATGTGCCTGGTGCAATGGCAAGGACCGGACCATCGATGTTTACCTCGAGGGCGAGGAACCTCCTAGGCGCCGGGGAAGCCTGCGCAGAAGCCTTCCTTCGCCTTCCTTTGCCTTGTCAGCGGAAAGCTGGATCCAGGAGACGGACTTCGGGTGATGCCCGAGGAGCCCCTCCGCCCGCCTCAGGCCAGAGAGCCTCGCGTCCAGAGGAGAGCGCCTCATCGAAAAGACTGCCCCTGTGCCAGGTGCCAGTCGGAGAAGTAGAAGCCCCAGGCCGGCAAAGTCTCACCTTATTTTGTCTTATCTTCTTCGAGCTGCCAGGCAAGTTTTACGAGAGTTCAGCCTGGCTGGTGTTTAGAAGCTTGTTTTATGTAGAATTACAAGAACGCAGGCCAACTGGTGGAGGAGGCGGCGCTTACAGACTTGTTCTCTGGTGAATGTTTCTGGTAGGGAATGCTGCATCCAGTTGCAGGATACAGAGATGCCCCTCCGCGTAGTGGAGCGCTGCTGCCGCGATTTGTTTCTGCCTTCGCCGCGCATGTTTCCATCTTGTGACACAACGCCGTCACCATATGACAGGCAGCCAATGCTTCTTCTCGCACAGAGCTTATTAGTGGAAATGAACACTTTAGCTGGCACTATCGCCTCTCCTTCTCTCGAACATGGGCGGGCCCACGGAAAATAAGCGTGCAACGTTTGCTTGCATGCAGGTCGTACAGACCCTCCTCCTTCCCGTACGAGGTGCGAAAGTCCGCAAGAAGCACCACCAAGCCAGCACCAACTTCAGCAGGACGGAAGGCAATGGAAACCGCGGAGCCGCGCGGGATCCGCTGCTTGGCGAAGTTTCGCACGTCTGCCAAGACTTAGCGCAAGCCGCCTGCGAGCCACAGGCCTCGTCGATCCAGCGGCCGTGAGGCGGAAGCTGCGAGAGTAGAAAAGCTTCTTCGGGAAAGCCTGCACCTCCAAGGATCGCCGTCCGCGACGTCGAACACCGTCCCCTCCAAGGCAGCTGTACTACAAAACTATCATTCAGCTTTTGGGAGTGTTTGGGTCCATTGAGTGGTAGAACTCTTCCTTTGACTTGGAGCTCCGCCTTCGGCCATGGAGCACCTAGACAAAGGGACCAACTGCAGCGCAGAACCGCAGGAGTGCGAAAAGCTTTCGGTTTCACGTCATACCCAACGCCACGATCCTGGTGGCCATGTATTAATCTCCAAGCTTAGCTGCTCTCAGGCGTGCAGCCGTGGGTGGACGCCGTTAAGGCCCCTCGAGGTGGCGGCTAGAGACGATGGAGCAGCATCTCATTCAACTGCAAAGGGATTCGTTCCTGCAAGCGCTTCGCCCCCCGACAAATGGACTCCTTCTTCCCTTGTTTGCGACAGGTATATGGCACAGATCTCTTGTGACGTCATCGTGAGGAGGGCATTTGGTATGCCTGGACTCGTTGTTGAGCTGATGCTAGGAGCGTCGCGTTTAAAACTGTTCGGTGCGACTGCGTCCGCTGCAGAAGCTTCCTGTTCCTCAAACTTGCAACTTCGAGCGTTCAAAGCTCGTTGCTCAAGTCTTCACAGCGGAGATCTGTCTGATTCAGCATGACACGGTCGACTTCGGACAGCCTATCCAGGGGAGTTTTTGGCCTGAAGCCTTACATAAGAGAGGTCACAGCGAAGTTTTGACAAGTGCCTCACGATGCGTGGACGATGCCCAAGCGGCAAGCCGACGGGGATGAGAACTCCCAGGCAGGGATCTTGGAAGCCTCCAACTCCCTTCGGTCCCCGGCAGGGCCACTGCTCAGGACGGCCAGAAGAAACTGGTGGCGGAGGGCTCCTCCGACGGCAAAGAATGTGTGACCTAGCTGCCTCGGATCCATGTCCCAATTGTTAAGAGCAGGCCGACAGGATGTGGGAGACAGCGAGATAGCGGCCTCTTTCTCAGCGTCTTCGTTGGAGAGGCTGAGAGGGACATGGCCGATTTCGTCCGGCCAGGTTGCGGAATCTGCATCGAACCCGACAACAAAGCGAGGTCTGTGAGCGTGAGTCATTCTTACGGCGGGACAGTGTGCGAAGTGATTTCAGGGCGACTTTCTGGTGGTGCCGCTGCTACAGGTCCGGAACATGCTAGTGCCTTATGTTTGAATTGACATGATGCAAAGCTCTAAAATGCTTGTTTCGCAAGGTCACGTACCGGGTGCAGGGGGGACTGCGGCATGTGGAGCATGCAGCTGAGAACGGAGAGCAGCTGTGAGCAGCGAGACGAATTCGGCCAAGGCCATACGACTTTGACTTCACAACACATGTCAAGTCTGAAACCAAGTCAGCTTTGGCGTATGCACCTGGTTCAGTAAGTACTTGTTGCATCATCCACTCCAGGCAGCGTTGGATAGGCAGGACACTGCTCGAGGCTCGCTGCTGCATGTAGGAAAGTGCACTACACATGCGTCCGCTCGCAGGTGTGCGCTTGCGAGTTTGTGGCTTTTCCGCGAGACTACTACGAGGCCACCGTCAAACTACAAGTAGTTGTGCCTCACGTTTTGAGAGCCAGGCTTCCATCGAAGCTGGCCGAGTCACCGTCGATGGGAAGGCAGTGAAGTCCGGACATGTACTGCGCGATGGCCAGCGCATTGTGCTCATCTCAGCAGAAGAACCCTGGTGATGTGCATGACTGCTTTGCAGGATTCCTTAGTTCTGGTATCCATTTTTGGTCCTTTGAGGGCCTTCCAATGAGGGACGGCAGCCTCTCCTCCCCAGTCCAGGATCAAAGAACCCTCACACGTGTCGGAAGATCAACAGCTGGGCAGTAGCCGATGTCAGCTATGGGCTCGTCGAGGCGTGTAGCATGCAAAGGCCAGCGAAAACGATTAGGCACTGCTTTCCGTCGCCGGTGCACAGTTCTCATTCGAGAAGGGCAGACTGAAGTAACGATGCAGGAACATGCAACCTAGTACACAGACCTCGGTTCTTGGGTGCGGAACTCTCAACGAACTCCGGAAGTGAAAAGCGTGAGAACATCACGTACTACCCATCTTTCGTTGTGAATCAAAATCGCTGTCTTCTCTCCTGCATGTTGGGGTGCCCGAAATTGGAGCCTCCTCTGTTGAGAGGCGTCGGGGCTTGCTACCGCAGACTGGGGAAGTTAAAATGCTGATCTATGCTGATGTGGTGGAGGAACCCCTGCCTTGCCCAGCGCCTGCGTCGGTTGATGTCGCAGGGCTGCCTGGGCCTAAGGTGCACCGTGCTGTGCGCTGTCGGGAGAACCCAGTCCTCGATCGTGGTCCGATCAAGGCTCGGTCGAAGCTTCGGGTCATCTCAGTGTTGTATGTCCTGCTTGCATTTTTCTGAGGTGGTGGAAGAGACGAAGGCTCCGGGAGGGCTTGGGCATCGCAAGGACGGCTGGTGGAGTGTTGAGGCGCTTCTCGTCGTGAGCAAGCCCAGCTCTCTCCCCATCCACCCTTGTGGGAGCTACCGACCTAAGCTCAGTTTCTCCAGTCTGAGAGAGGGCCTCGCCGTGAATCGCCGGGAGACTGAGGCTTTAACTCCCTGATCGCCATCTTGCGCAACCAGGGCACTGTGGAGGCGCAGAGTCCTGTTCCGGGATCCTCACTTTCTGAGCCGGAGCTGACTGCCCTGCTCCCCTCTTAACCAAGAGTTGCCTCGAGGCAGATGCAGCTTTGCACACGACTCACCGTCCAGATCTCGGTGGAGGGCACGTCAATGTCAATGTGTTCTTTCGGGGCTTTCTCGTTTCTTTTCGAGCTGAGGTCTGGATCGTTTGACGAGTGGTCTCGTCTTGTTGGTTCGACCCTGAGAATTTGGTGGGAAAGTTGGTTGCCTCCTCATCGGCTGCTAAGGCTAAGACCAAGGAAGCAGCTCGAAGAGTGCCTCCCCCAAAGCTCCAGTGACCAGGGTGTGCAGGTGGGACGTCGTTTTGGGAGCTGAGGTTGGCACTTGGTTTGCTGCCAACCAGATCCGGAAGACCTACCTCGCGCGTGTGCGCGGCTGCTTCGAGCAACTCCTGAAAGGCCTTAAGCTCTTAAGCTCTTAAGCAGCGGCTGCAGCTGGGGGCAGACGGGCAGGGACTTCGCGCATGCGCGGGTGTGCGCAGACTCCTGCGGGCAGGTGAGTTGCCTGTGGGAGCTACCCGCAAGGATGAGCGGATCCATGCAAGGTTCTCAAGTCGTGACTCAAAGCGTTCTCTGCTTGAAGTGGGCTTCAGAACTCTCTGCGAAGCTTTGCAAAGCTTCGCAAGGTTGCGGGTTACATCCGCTGCATTGATCGCAAGGCCTCATCGGAAGCCACTGCTGGGAACAGGGGGAATCAGCGTCCTTTGCTCAGGTCGGCAAGTACCAGTTCTCCGCCGAAGTGCCTGTGGCGGGCGAAGACGCCAAGGTGCCGGTTGCTCCTCGAAGCACTGATGGGCGCTGCGCCGCAGCACTGCCAGGATGCTGCCACGGAGTTCGAGTTCGTAGGCATGGCCTCGGAGGATGAATCCATCGTGGTACACTCAGCATCCTTCTGAGGCGAGGTCGGAGAAGACTGGGATGTGCCGAGGTCCGCTGCTATCCAGCAACGGGAAGAACTCATCAGATCAGCATCTCGCCCAGCTTATTGGTGATAAATTGATAAAGCAACGATGCCGACTCACTTGAGTAAGAAAACAACTTTATCTCGGAAGGTGTTGCTTGAGTTAGATGCGCATGCCTAGGGTTGTGCCAGGAGTTCATTTGCTTCATCTTGGATTTCCAATCGCGAATGATAGTCGGAGCCTCAAAAAAACAGGCATGCTATTCGTTTAAGCCCCTTTGTACCATCTTTTCAGTTGTGACTATGCGCACATCGGATGGAATCACAGAGGCTGCTATGGCGGTGAACTTCGAAACGCGACTTGGTCTTGACCTACTGCTTTTGCTGCTGTTTTGGTTTCTTCGAAGGGGCAGCGGTTCTCTTTCAACAGCCGCTGCCTCCTGCCCCCTGCCGAGGACTGCACCTTGCCATTGATTCCGCACATTCGACAAGAGGATGTGGACTCAGCCGGATAGGCTGCATGTCATTAGTCCGCATAATTCCACCTTCTGAGGCACACGAGAGCTCTCGCTCCGGTGAGGAGGCCTCGGCAGCTCGATCAAACGCCGCACCTGAACTCTACGCCAAGTGGATGCAGGCTGCGGCTACAATGCATCCAAGCCACTTGGATACCAAAGCCAGGATGTCAGGCAGGCATCACACCAGACCCTTCGATGATTGCACGAGCTGCCATGTGGAGGATCTTATGGCCGAGGTTGTACTGCTATGATCAGCAGGTACGTTTGCTGCTGGCGTGCCTTCGATCTCGATGTTGATGAAAGTTGCTGCTAGTGACTGTGTTGCCGGACGTTTCAGCGTTGCCTTCGTTTGCAAACTGTGGAGCGCACAAGCTTCCCTTGTACCGACGATGGCCTGATTCTGTGCCGTGTGCCGGCCGACTTGGAGGTCAAGATTGGCCACGCCTTGCTGCGGCAAGCGATTCTGAGTCAGACACCGACTGCCCGTTGTTTTAGCTCACCCGGCGTGACCTTGTTT